TAAAACGTTTTTTAAGGCCCCAAAAAAATTATACGATAAAAAAAAAAGAAAATATACGCAAATTGAAAGTGTTCCACCGGTGCCCGATAGATGGCACAAGTGTGTTCTCTGATTGCAAGAAATCTTAAGAGGTTTTAAAGGCTGGATCACACGCTTGCGACTGCTTCAGACCGGAGAGGCTTAAAATCTTCCTTTAAGCCTTGTTGCGGCTGCTTGTGACCGGCTGCCCGGTTGTAAAACTGTCATAAAAGGCTTAGCGACCGTTTTTAAGCCTTTCCGGTCGGAAGCTGTCGCCCTTCTCGAAGGCCATGTGGCACTCGCGTGGCGTTGGGTTGGTTCCGACGTCTTTTTCGTGGCCGCTGCGATGTACATCGTAAGATGGAACGGAGTATAGTCGAACGCGGCTTTATCATATATCTTATTCTACACATTATACACGTGTAGAAAATCGGGTGCGTGTATTCGACGAACTGTATTTGCAGAGCTTCAAAGGGATTCGCCTGTTCTTTCAACGTTTGTATGGTGTCATCTCGATGCTGCTTGCCGCACCGCGAACCCGGGAACCCCATGGCGTTACTGACCGTTCCGCGTGGAGCATGCCTTCATCGTGTTCACGAAGCGGATGTATTCTTGAACTTCACAGGGGCCAACAGATTGCAAGGTACACAGTGCGACACTATTTAGCGCAAACAACTGATCGTCGTTTTTTTTTTCCTTCGAATTGAATGGCTTTAATGTTAACTACTCGTCAAAGTGTTCATTTGGGTGCGCTAACTTAAGAGGCAAAGTTTGGCGACCGCCAATAAGCTTTAAAAAAAATGCAAAAAAAAATAATAAAAGAACGCCAATGTGGTGCTTACGCTAACGGTGTCGCGAAGTGTGCATTCTTAAGAATGCAGCATAAACGAAATAGTTTATCATCTCTATAATGATTCTTTCGCTTAACATTATATTTGAAAGGCTCTATCTAATATTGGCATTACGAATTCGATTAATTGGTTTCGGCTCGCAAAATTTATGAATCGGTGTTGACCACCGTGTGCGTGTGTGTTTTGTCTTATTGGAATCAAGCGTCAGGCAACAATGGAGATGAGACGTCATGCAAAGAGGAATTGAAGGGAAGGGGGGGCGGGGGGCGAGGATGGGAAAGGGAAAGAGGGAAGAAGGCCTGGGACATTGTCAGCGGCGCTCGGTCTTAGCTGGAACAAGCACCCAACGATACGGGCAATAAAAAAAAAAATGAGTTAAGCGAACCTCCTACAGAACATTCGGCAAGTACATTATAGTCCACAATGCTATACGGATCACAAAGGTATTCGTCAGGACACATCGGAACCGGGGCAGAAACCAAACCGGGAGGCGTCTCTAAAGGCCTCCTTGGGCCTAATTTGCATGTATGCATATACGAGACCGGTTATAATGAACTCGGTTATAACGATATAGCGTCTACGGCGAAGCGATCACGATTTCCCATTTCCTTTTGCACTCGCTATAACCGAAATCGTTTATAACGAAATAGCGGATATAGCGAAGTGATTTCCGATTCCCGTTGACTTTGCAATAACCGGTCTCAACAGTAGTTAGGAACATGATGGGAATGGCAAAGAAGTCGTTCAGTTGTACCGCCTCCAGAGAGAGCTTTCCACCCGCGCTTTGGCTTCTTGTGAGCTACGAGCGTGCACGCGCACCCGAAGCACAACAGGAGGCAGCAAAGCACGGCGGATGGCATTAGGACGGGCATCGGAAAGAGACTGCCTGCCTTTCTCACCCTGTACTCGACTATAATAGGGTAGGGGGCACCATCCACCCTCGCTTACTTACTGTTTTCAATTTTGCCGTTACGAATTTAGAAGACTGTACGGAAAGTCGAATAAGATTAAAGAAATGTCATCAGCGTAGGCTACACAAGAAAATGGCGACGTGAGGTGCGGTTAAAACAGTTTAAAACCGGGCACCTTTACTTATGGTTAGGCCGTTTTGAAGATTGTGAGATCCAATACACCTTGCGAATCTATAGCCGTTATGCGACCATCTTTTAGAGTGTTTGCTCGCGTATAGACTCGATGGAACGCGATGTCGCGGTGTAAACACGCGACCTGTCGCGGCGTGACGTGACCATCGAGCACACGAGTCGTCACGCGACTCCATGATGTGGGTGGCACCACAACGTGACGGAGCGTCGCGTGGCACCGTGGGATCACGTGACACTTGACGGCAATCGTACGAATGAAATACTAAAGTAATGCCGATGTCCCATGCGACCTCTTAACGCGGGGCAGGAACACTTTTCGATTGTCGAGTGTATGCCCATCCCACCAGTGCCAACTAATGGGAATAAATACATCTATTTAATTGAAATTGAATCACCTCTGATGTGTCCTTACGGTCACCTGCTTCCGGGTAACTTTGCAAACTTGCGAAACCGTCACCAAGCACCGGAACTATGTGTCTTTCAGACGACACCAACTGATAGAGCTGGTGACGTCACGGGGCTTCCAGCTAAAACTGAGCGCTACTATCACGACACAGAAACATCGACGGTTCGGTTCGACACAGAAACACACACACACACACACACAAAATAGAGAACAGCAGACATAACACGATAGTAATATGAAACTTGCACACAGTGGCAGCAAATACTCTACAAGAAGAATACATTCTACTCCGCTCGTTTGCATTAGACACCGCGCCTACACCGTCAAATCCTCTCCTATCGACTCGAACAGCCCGCTGCCCACTGCGCTGTCTACGCTGTCGTGATTTCGTGCTGCGCCGAGGGAGAGGGCTGCCGCCGATCGACCGAGATGCCGGATCCGCCGAGGCAGCCAAGACGGTTGTCTCCGATGCCTCGAGGGCTTCCACGACGACAGATGGCGGCAAACAACCCCCCAATCCAAAAAAAAAAAAAATACCCAACGATGCGCGGTCCAGCCTTTCAACCTATGCAAAAGCTGTAGGCTGAAAGGCGATCGGCGGAGTAAGATGTATTTCCTAGTAAAAGTATTTGGTGCTAATTTTTGAAGTACGAGGGTAACAGAAAACGAGCGTGCCCATTGCTCATGCATAGGCTCGAGGAAGGTAAGAAAGGGAGAGTGTGTGGAACCGATCTTTACAGGACCAGAGACGCTTCAATTGCATGCTGAGAGCAAGTCGTCTGCTATATTGCGCAGTAGTTACGGTGACGTCAGATCGACGCCGAGCTTTGATTGGCTTTGGTTTAAAGTACAGTGAGTAGACCTCAATGCTATACGCCTCGAGGCCTACCCATCATTTGTTTTTTTAATCAGCCAATAAGAGATTGGCGTTCTGAGATCATCACAACCCCTGTGCATGAAGCAGATAAACTTGTGCTCCGCTAAGCCAATGACAGCTTAAGAAACGCAGGGCGTGACTATTGACGTCACCGCTTCTTGCATTGTGATTGGTTCCTTGGGTGTTCTTGTCGGCACATGATTCAATTTCATTGGCTGCGGAGTGGTAACAGGAAGCGCGGGACTCGGCACGCCCCGTGTTTTTGAAGCTGTCCGTTGCTACGGTAACCAGCTACTACCTATTAGGTATTAGTTTAACCACTTATCATCTTACACGATGGTTTATTATGCGAAACTTATCTTTTTGTCTCTATCTTTAGGAGAGAGAAAAAAGGAGCAATTCATAAAAAGACAGACTTTCGGAGAGAAAAAAAAGTTGCGGGCCACGTTAAATAATGTTTGTCTATTTGTGCGGACATGCCGGCAAGACGGTCGCTTCCTGAGGCTACGATTCTCGAAGCACGAAGATCTGATTGTAAAAGGGGCCCTGTAAAGGCTGAAGATCTGTTCTTATGAAATTGACTATGGTAAGTTGCGGGTTAAAAAAAGCAGGACAAGCTCACCGCTCACCGCCCTTCCCCCCCCCCCCCCCCCCCCTGGTAAAGCCCTCCACTCTGTCTACTTTAGCAGGGCAAACGGTGAAGAGGAGGCGAGTTGAAAGGGTAAAGCCACCAGTCGTGGCGAACAGAGAACTTTGTGGGAAGAACTTGCACTGCTATTTCTGAACCCGCAAAAGACTATAGTACCTGGCTGCTGCCTGCAACGTATCTGGTCCTCGAAGTGCGGTAGGCAACCAACAAAGGAAGCGAGTGCAGGCAAACGGAGGGTGATACGGGGTCAAAAGGTACCAATCATGACATTAAACGAGCCTCCAAGCAGCAACGAAAACGAAAAGTATGTGAAAAGTAAACACAAGGGTTGAGAGGTGGATAACTTTTGAGAATGGGCTTTGCTTTACGCCCGTTCCCGTTGTCTTCTTTGGTGAAGTTTAATCTCAAGATTGGTTCAGACTGACAAGAAAAAAACAAAAACACGTGAGTTTAATTAGAGCCGCGAAAAAGCAGTAATTAAAAAAAAAATTATCAATGATCCTTTAAGCACCTTCCACATAGCATATCGCTGTTACGAAATCAAAACACACTGAGCTTTTTCTTTTTCTTTTCTTTTTGATTACGTGACGTTTACGCGAGCAATCCTTGCATCGGACTGTAGGAGTAACATGACGGTAAATTGTATGATCTGACAATAGTTTTATGACGGTATTTTTCTGTCCTTTCTGCGACTATTTTTGTCGCACTTCCGTTGACTTAGCGAGCGTAAAGGGATAGCGTATTTAAAGAATAGAATGGAAAGTGCGGTGTACCTGTTGATGCATTAGATCATGTGGCAAAATGATTTACAGGTGGAAATATGATACTACCACACGACGTACATGTGTTTCATAATACGGTGTTCTACGCAGGTCTTACTTGGTATTTTGTGACTGCACTGGGCTCAAGCCTCAAATCAAGAGTGAGTGGCTCACGGTAAGATGTCAGTAACGGTGGACCACGATACATACGACGAAGCTACATGCTGCGAAATGCTATTAAGAAGATGCCAGAAGATCAGCGGTGCAAAGAGAAAGATGGAGCCAAAAAAAAAAGAAGAGAGTGAGCTGAAGGGGGTGACGAAGAGGTGACTCACATGTGGCATCAGGTGATCCGTGCTGCCCACGCGCGTCACCTTGTTGCGATTGAAGAGCTTTTTGATCATCTTTTCTATCTGCTCGTTGAACTTCATGAAGGTCACGTACGCTGCGTAACACAGCAGCAGTATGAGAGCCTCCCACCAGCGGATGATGCTGTCTTTGAAGAAGGTCATGAGGACGATCAGGATGATGGAGTAGAATGTCACGTCCCGAAACAGCGGCCACCAGGTGAGCTGCAGGACCGACTTGGAAAAGATGGCGCACATGGAGATGACGAAGAGGATGTTGAACACCGCCGAGCCGACGATGGTGCCGATGCCCACGTCATCGAACGAGATAAATACGCCGATGACACTGGTGAAGAGCTCTGGGGCCGAGCCGCCGGCAGCCATGAAGGTGGCGCCCGCTACGTCTTCAGAGATGTTCATCTTGATGATGATGACGTCGAGGGCCGGGATGAAGAACTCGTCACAAACGATGGCCAGGGCGACGAACATGTAGACCATGCCCATGACGTGGAGGATGACTGCGCCCTTGCGCCGCTGGTCTTCGGTGAAGATGTCCTTGGGGAACTGGGCTCGTTTCTCTGTGGCGTTGCCGCTGGTGTTGCCTTCTGCGCTCAACAGTGACCGGGAGGTCCAGGACAGGGCGTGCGGCTGCGGGAAATAAGGTGTTTTATATCAACGGGACCTGCCAATGTGCGCTTGCAAGAAGGACTCCGGCCGCGCTCATGATACCTCTTTGGGTTCTGACCAGTCCGATGCGTTCGAGACAGTAAGCATTAATTATTATTTAGTTCACAACGAGGTTAGAGACATAAAATTGTTGCGTTTTCTTTACCCTATCCATTACTTGCAGTGCTATATTATCTATGTAACGCAAGGTAGAGTTTGTTAAGTCGCTGCAGAACAAGTAAGCATGACCACCAACATAATGAGTTTAAACCACCCCGGCAAACCATGTCTATAGTAAACTCTTTGGCCAGTTTATACGCCTCCTTACCCTAATGTCTTCGCCACTGCCATCGGCACCGTCCCTGCCGGAGCGGCGTAGCAGGTCCGGTTGGCATTGACCCGACGGCTGGAGGAAGCTTATATAGCCCAGCAGGAGCAAGCCCGAGAGGAAGACCAGGCCGGGGTGTCGCCACCTCCTCCGGACGGCCCGGCCCGAGGCCAGGGTTCTGAAGGGGGACGGGATTCCGGTTTCGTGGGCACCCATGCCGGCCCAGGGGTCCGTCAGACAGGTCGGCCGCACTGACGGCTCGGCGGGGTCTGGGCCCGGGGGACGGGAATGCCGGGTGGCGCCCACGCGCCCTTGGAGACTGCACGGGACATCTGCGCAAGGATGAGACCGAGCAACTGAATTACTGAAAATAACAATCCACGCAGACTCCCAAAGCACTACACGCGCTCTCAGGAACCCACCATACGCACAGCGCCACCATCGCGATCATCTCACGACGGTTCTGCGCCTAGTGCGGAACCACGCCATCAAAAGGTGCATCCCTGGTCCCTGGCCATGCGGAAATACTGGGAAACGTCAAGGCTCACAAAGCTGCGATGCAAGAGTTGAAAAAGAATCAACCTCTCTCTTCATTCTGGTATTCAACCTCCACTTCTACGCCCCAATTCACAGATGAAGACTACGGCCCGCTCGAAGAGCTCCGCCTTCTTAAGAGAGATTGGAAGCGACGCATTGCAGATTCGTGGGTTTCCGGGCAATTTCTCACCCGGGACAACGTTTTCAAGAAACCCCTGGTCCGGTTTGCTCGAACTTGGTTAACTTGATAAGGATGGCTAGTTGAGCTAGTTGGTTTTGCATCATGGTGTAATACGCCAAAACAACAGGGACAAAAAACGAATGAAGAACTAGACAGGACGCGGCGTAACTTTCAACTGAATTGTTTATTTGGATGACAGAATTTAAAAAATTCTGTCATCCAGCTTGAACCGCGGCAGAAAGTTACCCGCATTTCCCTACTAGGGGGAATTCTAGGTCACGTGACCGGCCGAGCAGGGACGAAGGCGAAACATGGCGGTGCCCCTCCCGATGAGCGTCACTCGCTATGGATATGTTCTAGTCGCTGCACTATCGGCCACGTTCGTCTGCAATGGATGGTGCAGGAGTCTTTCACGTAACTTAAATCGCAAAATAACAGCAATTCTCTCGCCCCATTTTTTAGATCGTCTTTCTATTTTGGCTATTCCTAAGCTTAAAGGGACGCGGTAATTGTCGACACATGAATGTCTTTGAAATCTGTCTTGACTCAATCGGCCGGGCATTGATGTGACGCAGAAGCAGATCGTGTACCAATTTGAGCCGAAGTGCGCAATTTTCATTTTATGAAGAAGGTTTTGTGTACAGTTTTTACATCCTGGGCAACAGTGCTGCCGGTTTACCGCCCGCCTTTCACTGATCACTTCATCCTCATCGTTTTAAGCACTGGACTTCGTCGTTCTCTTTTGCACTGGGAAGGAAAATTCAACGAGGCTTCTCTCGACTTCAGACAGCCAAACATTGAATATTTTTCCAAACATGGGCTGATTTGGTTTTACCTTACCCATTATTTGTATCCTGAGCAACAAAAAGTGGTTCTTAGGCTCCAATGTATGCTGTGCTGCGTCGCGAAAACCCGGCAGAGCGCGTATTTCTACGAGAGAAACTCATACTCGCTAAGTTGACACGAGCTACCACGCCATAATAAATCATTGAGCTATCACACATTCTGCGCTCGTCAAACTGGGCTAGGTTTTGCACGTACCTAGTAGCGAAAGGCGGTTAACTTTCTGCCGCCGTTAAAGTTTACCGACTTCGAGCAAACGGCGCCCAGATCGTACTGCTCCGCCGCATACGTATGCCGGCGGTGCCATCACTATACATACGTCCCATACGCCGCTTCGAGAACGCAAGAAACAAAAGCTTCTGTCCATACTACATTACGCCCGATCCCCGTTGCCAGCGATATCTGGACCCAGACTTGCTCCCCCCTCTTCATCGCTTAGTCTGGGAATGCGACGCGCTGACCACAAGTCGCCAAGCTGCCTGGACGACGCGACGACGAAAAGCCACCGACCTACGCGGACTGGGTTCACCCGGCCGGCGACTCGGAGCGCCGGACGAGGAAACGGACCTCGATTGTTGACGTTTTGTCGAGGAGCGGGCTTGTGTCCTCGCTCTAATCCTCCTCTTCCTCACAGAACAATACACCGCGCGGGATGCAGAAACCACGTCGTAGATAGCGACCGCTTCGCATCGAGTCACGTGACACAGTGTAATCTCTCGCAGTAAACGTTTCACTCCCTCGGTCGCTCACTCACTCTCGAGAACTCAAGGCTGGTTCACACACACTTGCGTGTTGTTGAAACCGAGGACGCCGCAACCTTGTGACTGCGTGCGACCGGCTGCGCAACCGGTTTTTGAGACTCTGGTGACTGCTTACGAGCGGCCGCGCAGCGGCGCAGCCGATCGAACGCAGTCACAAGAGGTTTAAAAATTTCCCAAGAAGCACAAATTTGGCCGACCATTGGCCAATGCCTGGCAATGGTCACTTGGCCACTTGTCAGCCAATGGTCAGCCACATTGGCCGATGAATGGCCTTTCTCTTGCCGTTGGCCAATGGCCACTGGCCATCAGCCATCGGCTTAGCATTGGCTAATGAATTTCCACTCTTTGGCCATTGGTCAAAAGGTCATTGCCAGCCAATGGCCGATGCTTGGCCAAAATCTGTGCCACTTGGGTGCTCGTGGAGCACTCGGTTTTTAAGCCTCTCCGATCGTAAGCACTCGCAAGTGAATAGAAACCGGCTTTGAGGATGGAGTCACTCGAACGCTACGTTTGGAGAAAAACCACTATATGGGGTATTCACGATGCGCCCTATTCTTGGTCGTAGATCACAGCGCATGCTCGGGGATGTAGTCGGTGTTATGACCCGTCTCCACCTCCCTGGGTTGTGAGGATCGACCTTGCATTCCGGTGCGGACGACGACCAAGCGAACGTCGAGACGGTTGGAGTGCGACGCGAACCCTTTTTGCACGTTCGATCGAAACCGGAGAAGCGTTTCTCTCAGGCCTCGGCTCAAGGGCATCAGAACCGACGTTGCCGTCGGTGTGTTCTGTCTACGGCGTCTGCATTCCATGGAGGCGTCTGCATTCCACGAGAACGCCAGACAGAATCCCACCCTGAACAGATGGCCAGTCTGTTGTGTCTGCGTCTACCGCATGCAAGACAATCGCCTACTAGTCGCCCTCAATTCGGAGAAGAACAACGACCGAACATCGGGGCCGAGAGGAGGAGGCTGACGTCGATGCCAACTTTGGAATGCGGCGCTAACCAACCAATGGCACGGCAGCTCCAGAACCCCGATTTTATTATACAAGGACCTATTCGCTGCCCATTCGGCGCGCTACTTCTGCCAATATGCTAAACAATATACTCATGTAAATAAACTAGTTTTCTGTCGTGTTAAGTTTTCCCCATCTGTTTCCCCGACTGTCTGGCTGGGATGTTGTTCGCGAGAAAGGTTGGACGCCAGCGAGATGGTCATGCTACCCGAGAGACCAGGCTGGACGTCGACTCATAGCAGCTGGATGGCAGCAGTGGGATGCTGAACAACGCGGATCAAGACCCCCCACAGACTCCACGAACCGATGACCACACATGTGGGTGAGTGTTCGGCTTTTGTCCCTAGAGACACACCAGGCTTTCGCTACATTTAATTGTTTGTTAGACAAAGCGGGTGGTTGAGACTATTCTGAGGCGCGGGTTTTAACGAAGCCGTCAGGATAGTAACAGAGCCAACATTCCGAGCAATCATGAACCTCAGTTCGTTAGGCAAGGCAGATCTGATTCTGATTTGCGAGGAACTGGGTGTGGAGGGGGTGAGAAACAAAATAAAGGCGCTCATCATTGAGGCCATCAAAGCCACGGGAGCAGATGCGGATGAGCTTGCGGAGAGTTTGGGCTTAGCTAAGGACAGACAGAGAGAAGAGCTCGAAGAGAGGGAGCGAAGCGACCGCATTTGTCGCGAGGAGTTCGAGCTTGAGCTAAAGAGGCAACAGCAGGAGATAGAGCTCAAGAAACTAGATCTCGAGTTAAAGAAATGTCCATCGGACGACGGAAGCGGAACGGGCTCTGGCGGCGGATACAGGATATCCTTCAAGATGAAAAACCTTATGCAGCCCTATAAGGTAGGAGAGGATATTGGCCTGTTTCTTGTCAATTTCGAGCGGACTTGCGAGAAGGTAGCTTTCGCTCGCCATACCTGGCCGCAGAGACTGCTAACCCTGTTGCCGTGTCAAGCAGCCGACGTCGTAACGCGGCTGTCAGAGGAGGACGCTGAGAGCTACGACGTGGTGAAGTCGAATCTCCTTAAGAGATACCGTCTTTCCACGGAGGCGTTCCGGCTGCGCTTTCGACAGGCCAAAAAGGGGAGGGACGAATCATACCTCGAGTTTGCGTATGACCTAAAGGCCAATCTCATTGAATGGCTAAAGAGTGCTGAAGTATTCGACAATCTCGAGAGTGTGGTGGAGTGCTTCTGGTTGGAGCAGTTTTATCGCTCCATTCCTGAGCAGGCGCGACTCTGGATCCTCGACCAGAGGGAAGTAAAAACAACCCAGAGGGCAGCAGAGCTGGCGGAACAGTACGCGGTACGCAGAAACCTTCGCGAGGAGGACCGCTATGGTTCGGGTCGCCGGGACACAGAGCCAAAAGGCTATTCACGAAAAGAAAAATTCGGAAAACGAGAAAATCTCACAAAGAAGGCTGCGCCCGAAACCCAAGGTAACGAAAGGAGGAGTCGTCCTAATTAGGAATATCAATCGATCAGGGAGAGTTCGGGCACAAAGCCTGAACAAAAGAGGGCGTTCGAAGCCAAGAAGCCAATGGTGTGCTTCAAGTCTCAGAAACCGGGGCATATCGCGGCCGGATGTAACGTCTCCCAACGTCGTATTTTCCTACATAAGGGAGAACGAGGAAAACAGGCGGCTGCTGGAGCCTGACTTGAGCGACCTGACGGTGAACGGGAAGGCGCGCAGGGTTCTCCGAGACTCGGCTGCCACAATGGACGTGATCCACCCAACCTACGTAGACCCCAACGGGTATACAGGAGGTTGTGCGTGGATCAGGCAGGTGGTCGAGGAGCACAGTGTGTACCTCCCGGTCGCCCGAGTTTGCATAGAGGGTCCGTTCGGTACGCTCCACACCGAGGCTGCGGTGTCCGGCAGCCTGCCGCTTCATTACCCCTACATCTTCTCAAACAAATCTGATCAGATGCTCCGAGAGAAGGGTCTTAGCTTTTCGGTGGGTTCTGTTCAAGCTCTAACTCGCCTCTAA